CTGTCTTTGTTCTTAGTTGTGTTCACGTGCTTAGAGTATTACCATCACTGCTCCAAGACAGGCAGAGGAGAAGCCAGTCCCTTGGGTAGCTCCTAGAGAAGGCAGAATGTTGAGTACATGGTCCAGCTCTCCCTCTCCAGGGAGAAACTGGGTGTTGTATTTCTTCACTGGCTTATTCTGTGTTGCAGCAGTGGTAAGTACCTACACTCTTAAAAATAGCACTTTTTTCTCTGTATCTTTAGTGTAGTATATGCCAGGCTTTGTTGGTACTCAAAAACAAATAAAACAGAACCAGTCTGGGAGATAGCACTAGGAAAAGTTGGAATGTTAGCCATGTGGTTTAACTCTTTCCTTTCCCAGAAAGATGTTTTCTGAGTTTTCTTCATGCTTATTCTCTGCTAAGGTTGGGGAAGTTGATAAATGAATTTATGGTAGTTCAAAGAGTTTCTTTGTTCTGTCCAGTCCACTAGGAGCTAATGTATCCTGGTTCTGTCTGTACTCTGCATGAAGCTAGATAGAAGCCAGACCTTAGAGGAGCACCTGGAGAAATTGAGACACTGGATATATCGTCCAACTCCCTCATTCCTCATGGAAATGTTGGGAGCTGAAGGGTTCCCTCTTGATTGCATAACATTCTGCCAAGAGGAGAGATTATGGTTGAGAGCTGGCTCCACTTTTTCTAGTTGTTTTAATGTACATGGTTTTACACTCACCCAGGGTGCAGGAGCCTCTTAACTGATTTCTGGATTTTTTCAAAAAGGTAAATTGATCTATGTATTGCTGTGGACTTGATGTATCCATGGTGGGGGGGAGTCTAGGTCTTCCTATTTTTCCATCTTGTGCACATCACCCTCAAGTATGTTTCTTTTAAGTGGTATATGTTTTAGTCTTGGCTTTTAAATTTTTAAAAAATTTGTATTAGTACATGTTTACATTGCATTATGATTACATTCCCGGTGGAGCTTTGGTATGTGTACCTAATACATCTTAAACCTTTTTTGCATCCACTTTCCCTCCCCTCCTCCCCCCTTCCTCATCTCTTGGCCCATTTCCCATCTGAAAAAGATAGTGTTTAGATCATTTAGTCTTCACATGATTATTTGCAATGTTAAGTTTAAAATCTATCCTCTTTCAATTTGTTTTCTGTTTGCCCACCTGCTCTTTGTTCTCTTTCTCATCTTTCTGTGCTCTTTTGAATTAACTGACATCTTTTTGCGCTTTCAGATTACCTCTTTTGTTACCTTTTATACTGTAATTCTTTTTAAAATTTGTATTAGTATGTTTACAGTACATAATGATTACATTCATCATGGAGAATTGGTACAAGTACATAACACATCTTAATTCTCTTTACTTCCCCTTCCTCTCCTCTACCTCCCCCTCCCTCTAGACTAAAATTCTCCATTTTGTTATTTTAGTGGTTGCTTTAGGATTTGGAGTATACACTTTTACCTTATCAGTATCTCTCCCAAGTGACATTATGCCACTTTACATAGAGTATGAAAGCTTTACATCAGTGTTCTTCTATTTCTCACCTCTTAAACTTTATGCTATTTTTGTTATGTATTGTATATATGTGTTATAAGCCTCATAATATATTGTTACTACTTTTAACCAGAGTACTCAATTTTAGGAATTAAAATAAAAGAAAAAAACTTATACATCTATCCATGTAATAGATTCCATCTCAAGTACTTTTCAGTCTTCTGTGTAGATCCACAGTTCCATCTGGTGTCATTATTCTCTAGGCCTAAAAGCCATTCTCTAATATTTTTAGTGTATATTTTCTGGTGACTAGTTCTTTCAGTTTTTGTGCGTTCAAAAATATCTGTCCCTCACCTTTATTTTTGCCTTGTTAGGGCCTGATATGTTGGCAATTATTTTTTATTTCACTATCTTGAAGATGTATTAGTTTGAATATCTTGTCTGTTCATTCCAGTATTTGTATCAGATCTGAGTTGGTTTCAATTGATTATTCTCCTAACTACAAGTTATGCTTTCCTGCTTGTTTGAGTGCCTGGTAATCTTTGATTGTATGTCACACATTGAAAATTTTCTTATTGGATCTTATATATTTTTATGCTTCCTACTGGGACACAGCTAAATTACTTCCAAACAGTTTCACTCTTTCATGTCTTGTTTCTATGATAGGTAGTTCCAGAACAGTGTCCAATCTAGGGCTAATTATTCGTTACTACTAAGACCAAACCTTTCTGAGTATTCTCCCCATGCCCTGTGAAATAGTAGTTTTATTTGTTTGTTTTTTCAGTTTGGCTCTGGCTATTCCTAGCCTTGTGTGAGTAGCTAGGCATTCTGTTTTCTAATCCTTTTATCCCTCTGACCTTGAATATTTCCTCATTTGCATATGCTGATAATTTTTCCACTGAATATTTGAGTGGAGCCCTTTACAAACCTTCAGAGTTCTCCCTCTGTCTGTGTGCATCTATCTTTTCTCTGGTTCTGTGTTCTGTAAACTTTAGCTACTTGGTCTCCCTGCCTCTCAGCTGTATTTCTTCAAGTCAAGGAGTCTGCTGGACTCTGGCTGGATTCCCTTTCCCTGTATTGCAGCATGGAAATTCTCTTAAGGCAGTAGATTGGGTAAATTTTAGGGCTTTCCTCTTTTCTTTCTCATCTCTCAGGGATCTATAGCCTTCAATTGTTGAAGTCCATTATCTGGACAAATGTTTCATATATCTTGTCTTTTTGTTGTTTCAAGGGAACAAGTAAATTTGGTTTCTGTTACTACATACTGGGCAGAAACAAAGCTTTCTAGTCATTTCTACTATGTGCAGCTATTTTTAGAGGAACACAAAAAATACCCCAATCTTACAAATCCTAAAAGTTATCTGTGTCCTATCCTGGTAATTTCAATGCTTAAGTTAATTTCTGAAAATTATGTTTCTTTTTTCTTCTATTCCCTTTCCTAAATTGAACTATGGCTTCTTTGGATCCCATCTTTGGATAAAGCTAGTGGCTACTGAGTCCCAAGTACAAGTGGAACCCATCATTGTTTGTCATTCAGGCCACCCTTCATACTTCTGATATAAACCTTGTTTATTTTCTTCTAGATAAAATGCTAAAATATAACCTAGAATCATTCTCTTACCTTTTGGCTCAAATCTTTATACACTTCTTCAGGTGATTCAGCCTCCTTCTTCCTATGCCAAAACCAAGTTGGCAAAGATATTCACAGGAAGTACAGTAAAATTGAGAATGTAAGGAAGTCAGGGAATAGAACTAGTATGAAACTCAAGTAGTTATGCCAAAGAGAGGAAAATATGAGCAAGCTAGTTTATGGTTCAACTTTAACATCTTTTTGTGTTGCCTTTGTGCGAGGGAATGTTCATACTAAATGAAATCAAGAAAAGAATAACCAAGGGCCGGGGATTTAGCTCAGTGATTCTGCCACCTGCCTTGCAAGCAGAAGGACTCAAGTTTGATCCCCGGTACCAAAAAGAGAAAAAAAAAAAAGAAGAAGAATAACCAATAAATAAATGTAGCCTCTTCCAGTAACTCCTGTTTCTTGGAGTAAAACCTAAAGCAATTACAATGGCTTTGATATGCAATGTAGCTAACTAAATTATTATAAAATATTCTTATTACATTTTCCCAACTTGACTATAAGCTCCAGAAAGGCAAGGATTTTGTATCTTTGTGTATCTCAAGCCCTAGAGTAGTGGCTAGCATGTTAATGAATGCATAATAATATATCCTAATTTCTAAGTTCTTAAAGTCAGGGAAGGCAGATTGCTAAATTTAGTATATAGTTGGAAGAAACTTTTTTTTTTTTGGTACCAGGGATCAAACTCAGGTCCTTGTGCTTGTGAGGCAAGCAGCAGAACCACTGAGCTAAATCCCCGGCCCTGCAGGAGACTATTTGTTACTTGAGGTTGGTAAGCTGTCAAATTTACTTGTCAGGAGGCACTATTATTTTAGGGGTTTTGTTTCTTTCTTTATTTTTGGTACCAGGGATCAAACTTAGTACCTTGGGCTTGCAAGGCAGGCGTGGTGCCACTGAGCTAAATCCCCGGCCCCCTGAAGGCACTATTATTTTAATAATTAGTTTGTAGTTAATAGTCTAACTTTTCAATGTGTTTCCCAATTCCTGTTATTTTCCTTTTTAAAAAAATCAAAATAGCATTTACTCTGGTTATTCTTGACTTAAAATACATATATTTGTATGTATGTGTACACTTATCACAATATTCAGCAAGTACTACTTGCCTTTAATCTCTTACTAGGTTCCCATCAAAAGGTAGAAGGGTGGTTAGGGAAGAAAACAATAAGCTCATTTTAAAGCTTTTTGCCTAATGTCTTGGAATAATTTTTCCATTATATTAAATCTTTGACATTTTCATATATTTTACAGCTTTGATCTTCCTAGTTTTTAAAAACTATGTAATCATATTCTTATTTCTAGCTTAATATTGTCTTATTTGTGTGGCTTTGGGATAAGGTTGTGTATTTAGCCAATTTGGCCTTTTACTACCCTTCTTACCTACATATAGATGGAATTGGTTCCTGAGCTCATTTCATGACTGTTAACTGTGTAAGCTTTCTTTGTTCTTAGACCCGTATGGTTGATTGCATTTTTAAAAAATCAAAAATGCATTTCCTTAAAAAAAAATCTAATACATACTCATTGTAGAGACATGAAAAATATAGAAAACCATAGATAGGATAAAACTCAAATAGAGTTCCAGTATAGAGAAGACCATTGTTAATATTTTGATGTATTTGTGATGTTTGTTTTATTTTGGTATGCATAGATGAAGGTGTTATAAAGAGAAAATGAGGTGGCCAGGGACAGAGTGCAAGGAAACCCAAACATTTATGGACTGTGTGGAAGATAAATTAGGGGAAGACATTATCAACCAATGATGGAGATCGAGGAGGGTAATATAGGGTTGTAAAGTAATTAGAATAAATGGAAAGGATGCGTGAATGGAAAGCTCAGAAAGCCATGTCAAATTTGATATTAACTGAGTTTTATTCCTCAGATCATGTCCATTACACTCTGCTACATAAAAGCAGATGAATTCAAAACCCATATACCACCACTCCCTGACTGGTCCTGTGTCTCTAAACATATGCGATATCTCCTCAGACAACAACATTAGCATTAGAGTGTAAGAATATCAGATGAAAGGTAAGATATTCATTTATATTTCAACTTCAAATAAATAATGAATACTTTTTACTATAACTATACCCCAAATAGTACATACTTTCCTACTCTTGAATTAATTTTGATAATTTATCTATTTTATTAGAAAATAGCTAATTTCACCAATCTTAAAGAAAAAATTACAATAAAGATCTATAGAGTATTTCCTTACAATTAAAAAGAAATCTTTCCTCTCTCATTATATTGACCTCTCTACCAGGAATGCTTTTGACTTGATTGGCTTCTCCTTGACTTTCAGGTCTCAGGTTTTTTTTGTTGTTTTGTTTTGAGGTCTCAGTTCTAATGTTATTCGTCAGAGCCTTCTCATCTGAGAAGTTCAACCTGACTCTTCCATCGTACCCTCCTCTTTTCTTTAATGTTATTTATCATAATTTAAAGGATGCACTTGTGAATTTACTCATTAGACTGAAAGCTGCGTGAGAGCAATTTATTTTGGTAATCACTGCCCACCCATTAGCTAGTATAATGATTGACTCACATTTGTTGCATTGAATGAATGATTCTCCAAAACCACTTTTATCCTGACAAAAGCCTGTAAGGCTTTGTGGTATGTAAGAGACTGAGTAAACTTTCTTAGGGCTACTCTTGAGACCTCTCTTCTACTTCTGTACACCTTTCATTCACTACTGTTACAGTACATAGGTAGACCAGTCATCCTTTTTATCCTATACATGTGTCTTTAAATTGTTGTTCTCCTTTGCCTCTTTTTTCCTTATATATTAATTCTTGACCAAAGTACCCACCAAAGATATATCTCAAACTCCTATCTTCTAAGAAGCCTCTCCTTATCCAGTCAATATCATTCTCATAGCTTCTTTGCTCTGTTTCTGTAGCACTTATATATATCTATACTACAAGAATCTGTACTGCAAATTTGACTAAATAATGCCTTTTCATTGTCAGTGTGATACATAAGTCTCCTAATCATATGGAGTATGTGGCTACAAGTGGACATGGAGAAAAGTGGAAATTCACCAAGAGCCAAATAACTTTGTGAATTTGTCATTTTGAGACTTGATTATATAGTCAGGAAGAAGATCTCAAACAACCATGGAAGGTCCTATAGGGAATGTTAAGTTTTATTGAGTGTATTGAGAAACCACTGGAAGATTTAGACAAGATAATCATGATATAAATTATGTTTTTAAGAAAAAGATTTATGTTGTGGTGGGCAAGATCCTAGAAGTAGAAAATAAGGAGTTTTTTGTGAGATTGATGAAAAATATGAGACAAGAGGGAAACTATGAAGTATGACTCTTAGGTTTTTGCCCTGAATGGTATTGCTATTTAGTGAACTGAGAAAGAATTGGAAGTAGCCAATTTGGGGGAAATTTAAGAGTAGTTTTGGGAACAGTTAAGTTTGAGATGCCTATTAGAGACCCAGGTGAAGATGTTGAGTAACTCAGCAGTTAAATATGAGTAACCTGAAGACCAGGGCTAGAAATACAACTTTGAGAATAAGCAAGATATTTCCTGACAGGATCTATAGCTTTGGGCCTGTCATGGCAGTGAGTGTTGATCAAGAGGAGACAAGACAAAGGACTGTGGCACGGGGAGGTGAATACTCAGAGGATTGGTAGAGATGCCAGCATCATGAAGGCATGATACTGCCTTGTCCATGTGTAGCCATATCCTCCATATGGTTAGGTGACTTACCTGCCATAATGACAATGAAAAGGCATTATTTAGTCAAATGCATAATTCTTATAGCACAGATTATACATAAGTGCTATGCAAGCAGAGGAAAGGAGCTATGAGAGTCACATCATGAAGGCATGTGTTGTAACTTTTTAATTTTAATCTCTCAGCACCTGCTTCAATGCTGGGCCCACAGTAAGTATTCAGAAACATTAACTGAAATAATGAACAAATAAATTGCTGGAAAAGCAAATATGTTGCTGTACCGTCTATCTCAGGTCCATGCCAGAGGACAAAGTAGAGTTTCTGCCACAGTCTTAGTCACATTGAGTGATGGAAAGTTCCACACCTGGCAAGCACTTATGGTAGGTTTTTTTCTAAACATTTTATAAATGACATGTTTTAACTGAAACCTTTTCTTCTTCCTTACATGTAGATAAATAGCTTTGACACTTATTTAGCAAATGGAAAAATGTCTGAGCCAGTATGTTCCTGGGATGCATTGGGTTTTATTATTTTTTTGTTTTATTTTTATTTTTTTCACTAAAAGACACCAACCTTAATCCTTGGCAATCCATAAAAGCCATATATTTTCAAGTGCCAACCAGAGTGAAAGGACTGGCCAATTTGAAGCAAATTGCTCTATTTTTTTTTCCCCTCTTTCAACTGAGGTATGTACACTTAAAATTCTTCCTGGACTACAGCCAAATTACAAAAGAAAATAAAGTTAAAAATTGAAGATTTGACTCAATATGCAAGAGAGCCTGAATCGATTATGCATTAGTTTCTTAATTCAATTTTTGTAATTAACATTCCTAATATATGATACCATTCATATCCCGGTATTGGCATAATTTTTTAAAAAAATTAATGCAAGAGATCAGATCAGAATTATGAGCAAGACATTACCAATTAAGCAGTGAATCATTACCACCATCAGGTAGTATGGAATTCCATATTTAGATTCTGTGAGGGTAGTTTGCACCAGCAAGCTTTTGAGTGATTGGAATTAAATGGAAATTTAAAAAGGAAAATTATCTCATCAAATGGCCAAAACTAACAGAACTATGTACTTTAAATATTCAGACATCTATGCTGCAGTGCTCAAGCAGGCAGCTGATGTCAGTTCTGGGAAATGGTATTCAGCAGAGTGGAATGAAACAGTTGATGAATTAGAAAGTGCAGTCCACTTTCAGATTTCTCTGAATAACAGCAATAGAAAAGCAAAGCTACAAATACACATGAAAACTCCAACCCCACACTTGACATTTGAAACATCAAAATGATAGTTGGGAAAGATTAAAATTGCTGCCCAGGCTGTGATAGTTACCATTCACATTATTCCCATTTTGGGGGATGATGAAAATCACAGTTTCAAAATTCTGTTTTTCTCATTAACCATCTTAGAAGAGATTTGGGCTAAAATGACCAAGTCCTGTAGTGAAATTTCTCAGTAGAGAAAGAGAAGTGGTATTAGAAAGTGGATAAGCCTTTCAAAGATCCTTAGAGCAGACATGGTGTCTAAATACTCCAGATACCTACATCTAAGGAAAAATTAAGTCTACATTCTCCGTGAAGGTGATCTGGCTTCATGCCTCTCAGAGCATGCTAGAAGATGACATCAATATTTAGCCTTAAATCATCTTAATTGTCTTCTTAGCTTCAGTAAATCATCATCAGAGGAGAAAGGATCAAAATTGGGGAGGATTTTTTACAGCCTGTGTAACTGAGTAAAGGAATTTTAAAGAGGACTATTTCTAAGCCCCACAGGGAAAAAGTATTCTCTTTATCTTAGCAGTACAGACACTGTGTTGTGTTCCATGTTAGTAACACCAAGGATGAATTCAATGAATTCATTCTTTGTATCATATATTTTACCAGTTTCTTTTTAGGAATCAGGATTTTAAAAGCAAAAATGTTTGCTTTCTGAGACATTGCAATTAACTTCGTTTAGATTAGGTAATTGAGAGATATAGCCTTGCATTTGAAACAATCTGATACATATCATCATCCACATGTAATTCTGAGGGGTAGGCTAAATCTTGTGTGGGACTAGATTCAGACTGGATTTGTATATTAAACAAATAACAGTGAGGAATCTACTTCTTCTTAAACTTATGATTAAACAACTTTCCTAGTCAAGGAATATACATTTTCTATCCTCTTCTGATTCTTTTCCTTTATCCCAAGAAACGTCATCTTTTGCCAAGTGCATGTACCTTTTCCTTAGAGTATCTCTTCATTTTTCCCTTTTAATTCAACACATACATATATCTGTGCCCTAATCTATAGCAGCACTTTGGAGCACAAAACATGACGTGAAATTTTTTTACAGAAAAAAAATTACATACCCTTTTCTTCTTTCCTTTTGGTCTTGTTGGCAGAAGAATCTTCTTAAATGCTCCAACTGACTGGATGAATTTGGGCAAACAGAGACTAGAGGAGGTGCTGGAAGGAGGTCCTTTACAAATGAACCTTTGTCTGCCTTGTCTCTTGCCTGGATTGACAGACTCGCTGCTCCAGCCAGGACTAGAAGGAGGAGGGGACTGGACAGAGACAGGGCTTCGAGAACTGCCTCCCTCGGGATCTTCCAAAGCAGGCAAGAATGAACGAAACAGCTTCTTTAACAGGGGAATAACTAGTCTATACAGGAACCAGGGAAGCAGACTCTTAGAGCAATAAAGTATGAAAGAACACAGAGCAATTTTAACCTTAAGAGAAATTTGTGTGTACATGGGGATAGGGAAGGGAAGAGAAGAGGAAGGGAATAGTTGACATTATTTAGGAAGATGACTGAGCACTTCTTCCCATTTCACACGCTTTTTTTGTTGTTTGTCAAGTTTTCCCCACCACCTAGATACCTTATAGCATAGAAGGGTAGAAGATATATCCCAATTCACATTGCATCCCTCCAGCTTCTCACCGAGAGAATCATTACCAATGGAAAGAAAAAACAAATGACTAAAAATGAAATCTATTCTGTGTCTCAGAAATAAAGGCTCAAAGGAATTTCACTCTATTTTGAACAAACAGTATGGGAGCTCTAGCATCTATTTAAATATCCTTTTGTTTCAGCTCTTTAACATTCAGTTAGGACTAGTGTTGTGGGAACTAGAAATAGTATACTAGAGGAGGAATTATCTAGATGGAAAATTCAGAAAAGGGCAAACTCAGGTTATATTAAGAAAAGTGTGAGGGTGAAGGAGAGGGCAACAACTTTGGTCTTTACAGGGAATTTCATATGGCTAGAGCCAGAGGTGCAGGAGATTAGATGAGTTAGAAGCAAGTGGATGAAGTACTTCATATGCCACACTAAGAATCTGAGATTTTATTCTTAAAGTGACTGAAAAAGAAGAAACTCCCAGGCCTCAGTGTGAAAGAAGGACGATGTGGGAGGAAGAGACCAGAAACAGGGGGAAGAGACCAGAAACAGGGAGAAGAGGGGCTTTGCATATGGGAAGAAAGTTAGAAGGTAAAACTGAAGGTGCTTGATGACCAGTTAGGCCAGTGCTGGTGAAGCTATGGCACATGTGCCCCAGTGGGCACGTAGAGCCTTCTCAGCACTTGGTCTGAGTCACCCCAGCAGCCGAGCATCAGATAACAGTTATTTTTTCTAAACTAAAACCTCAGTATTCAGGTTTAATTGCAGTGTTGGCACTTTGTGATAAGTAAGTGGGTTTGGGGTTGCAGTTTGGGCACTCGGTCTCTGAAAGGTTCGCCATCACTGAGTTAGGTCATGTTTTGGGTAGAGGTAGTTGGATGAGTAGGAGAGACTTTATCAACTTTCAGAGGCTTGAGCCCCTGGATAGATGGTACTGTTATTCATCTAGAGAAGGTATACAAAAGAAAGAGCTATTATTCAAAAAAGGAAAAATAATACAGAAGTTTTGGCTAGAGCAAGAATCAGAAGAGAGAATTTAGTTGATGAATGGTGAATTTAAGGAGAACTTGATGCAATTGAAAATATTTGGTAGGCAACTGGTTAAATGGAGCTGGAGCTCAGGGAAAAGTCTGGTCTAGGGAATTAAAGCTCATTAACTAATCAACTAAGTACCAAATAATGCCAACTAAATAACTAATAGAATTATTCAATTAACTGATGGCAGAACCTATCGCTATGCCTCTTAAAGTTACTGTGCTCTTATGGTTTGCCAGCCTCTTGATGTGTCTGAACTCATTTATTCCTCCTTATCACCTTCTGAAATAGGTTCTATTATTCTACTTTATAAATGAGGAAACATCAAAGATATTGGGTAACCTGTTCAAGATCACATATACATCCAGAAAAAGGCAAGACTAGTGTAATTCTAGTGTCTTTACTTTTCACAATTATGCTGTACAACCTCTCAGGATACATTGCAGAGAAGAGACTAAGGTTGAAACAGAATCTTAGGGATCACCAATATTTAAGGGATGAATACAGAATTGGGAAGGAAAGTGACAAGGAGTAGCCAAAGAAGTAGTGGAAGGGCTAGAAGAGTGTTGTCATGGAAATCAAAAGAAGAATGGAGGTGAGGAGGAGGCCCTTGATGGCAGTTTTGGGGAAGCCATATGTGCCTACACTGATATGGAAGTAGGATGAGCAATGTGAAGTTCAGCAAAATCAGAAATGTTTACCAGCCCTGAGAGTGATCAAATCTCTGCCTGGTCTCCATTTTGTTGAAGCTGGAGCAAGTGGCATGGACTTCACAGGAAAAAAAAGATATGTGTGCAACTGACTGTGTACTTCCTTTGCACCTTAATAAACAAGTCTCCTGTGTTCCTTACCAAAATTGCATCACAGATGGGATTAACTTTTTAGTATGATTTAAATGTGCAGAAATATGTGGGTATGAGGACAATGAAAATTAGACTTCCTTCCATCTTAATAACTATGTATCTTGTTTACTTCACATAGATCTAAACTGGAAATATGATACTGAGCCAAACGGATATTCCCAATAGGTGGATCCTTTCTTTCCTCTTTGTTTTACTCTTATCTTCCCGTGCTTCTAATTCTTTTTTCATTGCCCACATTGGGTTCTTTATTTTGTCTCCTTTTTTCTGAATTTACGTTTTCATGTTTAGCTATCCCCGAATCCATACAATGTGCGTAGCATTGTGTTTCTTCAAGTGGTTCACAGCAGCCCTTGGTAATGGTCCTGTAGTCTCTGGATCATGTTCTAAGTCACTTAGGAAAGTGTTCCCTGAGAAAACACATTTGAACCCTGGCTTCCTGGTCCCTAATGATGTCAAACATTTATTTATTATTTATTACTAGCTAGACTTCCCATTTTTCCAGGGGAAAATTATTAAGCATTGTTAAATTTTTAAAAGCTTGCTGTTATTTATCATGATGTCCATTACACAGAGCTGTCCATTTTGAGAAGCAATAGAATTGGAACAGGAGAGGCCTGCAGTGAGAGTCTCTCCCAGGGACTTAATTTGTGGCTCAAATCTGAAACCACCATTTGTTGTCTTGTATACAGTTCTTTATGGCATTTTTGTTTTCTCTCCTAATGGGCTGTTACTCGGACCTCTTGTTGAACTTTGTTTTGTGTTGCTCTGGAGACTGCCTGTCTGTTCGAGACAGCCTTAGGAGCTTCCCAAAGTGAACATCTGAAGTGACATCAAACATATTTTAAATAAGGTAATCAAAATATATTATCTAGATTTTTAGAGAATATATCCAGCTGTATTTTTTATGTAATATGTTTCTGTCTGTTTTATTCATATAGATACATGTTATTATTTTTAGATCCAGCCAGGTTTGTTACAAATAGAAAACTCAAACCCTTTCATACCGTACTTAAACAGCTGTATCCAAAATTCTGGTATTAAATTTGAAAACTGATCTAATTAGTATTTCCTTAAAAAAAAAACCAAACCAGCAAAATCCTTCCAGCCAGATGAAATCTCAGGAGATATCTTAGATATAAACAATTTCAGACATCGGAAATCTTGAGCTTGTAAAAAAAATTGGGACACGCATAAACTCTTCTGTGATTTCCACCTGGGAGCTCATGCATATGCCCTGATTTGGAATCTGCTGCCTCTCTGCTCTATAATTGAACCCTTTCTCTCATTTCCCTCAGGCTTAAGTCCTTCTGGAATCACTGAGGCTGGAAGTGGAGGGAAAAGCAGCTGCTGCTTTCAGACTTCACAGTACAGATCCTCCCAGGAGGGGTTAGAAATTGGTTTACGTATCTGACAATCGAAATTTCAAAATAATTACACAAATTGAAAGCTAATCCACAATATGTTTGCTGAAATAATAATGAGCTACAGAAAAAAAATTACCTTTTAAAACTACCCTAAAATCTTTCATTAGTGAAAAAGAATAAATTGTTGTTTTGACTTAATTATTTTTTAATTCTGTAAGCATTTTCTTTCTGATTAAAACTATTTAAACATTTCCCTTAAAGTTTCCACTGAGATTGGAACATTTTTGCTTAGAATGGCTTTGGCAACTGGGTTGAACAACATAACCTCTATTATCCAAACTTAGCTTTATGCCACTGAAGTCAAACTTATGAAAACAGACTTTACCGAGGAGTCTGCAGTGAGGCCCTTGAGGGAAAAGCGGAATTACCAAGTAACTGTAGAGCAAGATGTTGGGCTCATGTTGCTACAACTATGGGAAGAGAAATGTTTTCAGGGGGTGTTTGTATTGGAATGCAATTTCAATGATATGGTGTACTGGGGAACTGCCAGGCTTCTCAGGTGGGCAGGCCTGGCTATGACTGGGATAATAGGGAGAGGTTTCTTGGATCAAAGACTTTTAGTCAAAACAGGAAGCACAGAAGCAGGAACCATCTTTTACCTGACACCCCCTAGGAGTGATGGACTTCTTTGTGGAATTTAGACATAGAGGTCTTTAGCACCAGAGTAACGTGATCTTTAAGTACTGTGGAAACAAAGTCAGAAAAGTGAACATCAAGAGAGAAGTGTGCCAAAGAAAACTGTGAAGCTTCAGGAGCCCATGGAATATTTAGAATGAATGATAATATTAACATGGAAATAATATCAGCAGGAAAGGTGGCCAAGAAAGAAAAGCACTTGGAAATTACCTCATTAGTTTCCTGGCATGGCTATTTCTACTGTTAATCCTCTGTTTTCTCTTTATAAAATAAGGAATTTAATGAATGGTTTTTCGCAATTTCTGTAACTGATACTCATTATCTTTTTAAAAATAGACATTATTTTAGGATAGCTTTATGTTTATAGAAATATTGCTAACTAGTACATACTTCCTCTATGCCCTATATACAATTTCCTTTTAACTAAATTCTTAAATTATGTAGTACATTTGTTGTAATTAAAGTCACTATTGAATATTGTTACGATGAACCAACATCCACATTTTATTCATTTTTACTTACTTTTTAGCTAAGGTCTTTTTTTCTGTGCCAGGATCCCTTCCCAGAAACCACATTGGGCTGTCCTATCTCCTTAGGCTGCTCTTAGTGTTTACAGTTTCTCAAACTTTCCTTCTTTATGACCATGACAGTTTTGAAGAATACTGGTCAAATATTTTGAAGACTGTCTCAAAACTGAGACTTGTTTAATATTT